CTTCCAGAGGCCTGGAGATACAATGGCTGAGATATACATCAGATGAGCCTCGACTGTGCCAATGGTCTGCTTCAGCCAATAGACCTCAGTTGCGGAAGAGAGAGCCCAGTGTCGACAACTGTGATCGTGTGGTCATTTCAGGGATTCCTACTGGATTTCAACCAACCACTTTTAGAATTCTCCATCTGTTCTTCCTAAACCTGCACTCAAGACAATTTTACTGTATTTTAGGCAATCAGTGAGTGTCTTACTGTTCGTGAATCCCAGGCTGGCTGTTCCCAAGGCAGGCAGCAAGTCCCTTTTGTTTGGAGGCACCAGTTTTGCTCCCCATAGACTCAGACAAAGCTCCTGAGTGATTGAAAGGAATCTGCATACTTGCCCCCTCCACACCGACATATTGATAAGTTGAAGGATGGAAAATGGGTTAGAGAAGGCATGCTTACATTTTTCTAAAATCCAGGAGGACTTAGCCATAGATACACAGGATAAAATGTCTGGCTTTGGGGGGAGGGGGGTTTCTTGTCTGTTGATCCATTTTGATTATAATTCTCACAGTGGGGGGAGGGAGTCCCCTCAGGCTGCAGTGGGTTGATGTAAGCTCTGCTAAAGCAGTTCAGACGGCCTGATTGTGATTGGACAGTCAGGTCTTGACATGTTACAAAGACCTCCATGTTTTGTGGAACACAAGCACAGAAACGTCCTGGCTGATTCAGAAAAGGTCCCCCAAAAAGCACATGGGGTACTGCTTTTGAGGGACGTGAATGCCCTTTTCCCCACAAAATGTGCCTTTTCCTGCCTTTCTTCTTCTGTCTCATGGCAATCTAAAAAGCTTAGCACTGTGATGCCTGGAACCCAATCAAGATAGATACAGTCCAGTTCAATAGCATCCTTTCTGCACTAAATCTCAGGCTTTCTTCCTGGAAAAATGCCCCTAACTACATTATCACATACAAAGGACGATGAACAATCCACATGTAGAGGTGTAATCTCTGCAATATACCCCTGGTTAAGAAAACAAGGGCACAGCAGATAAAACATTTTCTTCACTAAATAAATGGGGGGGAGGTATATTTTAAACTAGCACAAGAAGACTTGCTTTAGAATATACCTGCTGTTGATGCTTACTGGCCCAGTTACAGAATTTGCTCAGATGAAGTTCTAGTCCATGGTAACATTGACATGGGGCTAGAAGAGGTCACACAAGAGGTTTAATCAAGGGTATGCCCTTTTTTTCTGAGTCCAGAATGGTGCTTGGACTTCAAGCAGTTGTTGACAACTACTCTGAGAAAAGTGTAGGAATGAGGTCAGGGCAACCCCAAAATGACTTAATTTTACATTTAGGCTACGCTGACCCTGGTAACTAAACACATTTGTGCTGGCATGAAACATCAAACCACAAGCTAACGGAACAGACTGAATTCAGACAACATACTAAGCCATAAAACACTAGCCAAAGACGATAAACAGCTTTGCATGCTGGGCAAATGCCACTGCTAGGCTTAACACCAGTCTGGTTAAAAGTGGTGGGTAAACAAAACCTTTTAAAAGTGAATGTGTATTCTTTTTCCAAAAACCCATGTGGTTCCTCCCAGCATTTTGATTCATTTTCTCCAGGCACATGAGGATGTAAGACGTAGGAGCTTTGCTGATGGCAGGGGAGGGCTACCCTCCCTAAATTCTCCATCTCTAAATTTTTAAAGTCATCTCAAGCAGCAGATAAGCTTCTCTACCTGTTTTATGCCTACCCCTGAGGTCTGGGCTGGCTGTGGGCCTGGACCACAATCGCGAGTCGGGGGACCGTAGAATAGGCACTTTTTAGTCCGAGTCCTTGCTTAATGCAAAATGTACCCACGTTTTTGCTGAAATACTCCAGAGAAGAGGAAGTCATCACTTGAGACATCCTGCACCATTAACTGTTAGACAGTTTGGTTGTGGGTTAGCTGGAATTAGCTTTCCTGCACAGTCCAGTTGATTCTAGTTATGCACTCTGGAAAATGGGGAATTCTGTGCTCGTGGCAACTTATCAATTACTTGAAGACTGTACGTCTCCCAGCTAAGCAAATCCAACTCTCTGAAGTATTTGTTGAATCTTGAATCCTTTCTCACTGTGCTGGTTCTTTTCTCAACATGTTCAACTGGTTAATACTCTTTTCCAAATTGCAGAAGCGGACATGGTGTTCAAAACAGATTCTGTCAGAACTGGATTTCATCAAATGTTTGTAGGGTTTTTCGACCATTTATGCGGAATAGCGCTTACAGATTTAAAAAAAAAAAAAAAAGTTTTGTGTTTTAAGAGACCTGTTTTATTTGATCGGCATACAGTTTTCCCTTGCCCACAGAAAATCTCTTGCAGATCCTCGTGAAGGTGTTGATGGAAGCTGTATACTGAGGACTGAGATTTAGGAATACACTTCTAGGTATAATGACCAAAGAGTATTTTGGGCATCAGAGTCTTGTATGTCATGATAGCTGGGCAGGTCCTCGCCATCCTTACATAAAAATCAAATTTCCAGCCCTCATCACTGATGAAAAGTGACGTAAATGCCTTGAGATTTTTCCTGGCGCAGGAATTGCTGTGATATATCCATTCCAAAGGATACAAGACTTCCACTTAGTTACTTTTCCTAACTTATTCATAGAAGATGGCACCGCTATGTCAATTCTTTCCCCAGCTGGAAAATTGATTTGGGGTAAGGGAGATTATGGATCTCTTAAAATCAGCCACAAAATTGAATGGAGAGTCTCCAGTCTGTAGCCATCCAGAAAACAAATACTCTTCTTTAAAGCTCTGGAAAGATGCTCTCCATCTTTCTAGACCATAAATGGTCTTAGAAGCCTCCTTGCAGCTTCTGCAGAAAATCCAGACAAACCAATATTTCTCTGTTTTCTTCAAAAATCTGAGATTCTGCTCTTCTCATTGGATGGGTCACACTGACCTTCCCAATCCTGTTTCTCTAGCCTCAAGAACAGGCCACCCAACCTTGGTGGTGCAATGGGTGTTTTTCTCCAAGAGGCAAATTAGAAAAGTGAAACCTCTCCCCAACCCCCACCCACCCCACACTCTACAAAAAGTAAAAAAAAAAAAAAGTTGACCCAATTCATTTTGGTGATGTGGTCTTTAGATGGTCACCCAAAAGCAGGAGGAAGAGGTGGTCCTACCCTTTCTAGGGAAAGGCTATTCACTTGCTTTTCAATTAACTAATTAATAGTGGCTGTTATTCACCCCAGGACCTTGTGAAAGATGGGATAATGATAGCCAGGCTACTGCATGGTTCTTGTTGGTGATCCTTACAACCAGAAAACATGGCAGGGAAAGTGAGAGCCTCTGCTAGTAACATGACAAGAAGAAGCTTCAAGAAACAAAGGAGAATTCCTACTCTTTTAAAGGGAAAAGGTGGTGCAAGGATCCTCTTAATTTATCTTAAAAGTAGAGTTGACCATTTCAGGAATATAATCCTATCTAAATTCTAACTTAGAGGGTAGGCAACTTTCCTTGATAACAGATGAAACTCTGTTTCTGATTAAATAATGCACTGGGCTCAGACCTTTGCCTCAAAGGGAAACATTCAGACTAAACTCAATCAGAGGACTTTCTTCAAAATAACCAGGAGCATTTATCTGTTTTTCCCCTGAACAATTACTCAAGTAGCACAAAACAAGGGTTCCCTATTTTATTTGATAGAAGCGACTGATTAAAAATGGCTTAACTAAAAAGTCCCCATAGGTGTACATGCAGGAACCCTGCAGCAGGCCTTCAAAAAAGATTGATTATATATCAATGCTTCCTAAAAATGCCCCCTGAAAATTTCACTTTAGAAAAACACTCCTATGCTACGTAAGAGAAAGGAGGTGCCATGGGGGAGGATCCCCAGAGAAGGGATGCTTTGCATTAATTAGATAAAGAATGGGATCATTTAGGGTTTTTTTTTTTATAATTCCTTGGGCTCTGACTCTACAGTTCCAAAGCTCTGACATCACACTAAAGCAGTGTTTTTCAAACTTGGCAATGGTAAGATGTGTGGACTTCAACTCGCAGAATTCGGGGAGTTCTGGGAGTTGAAGTCCACATATCTGGGGAATTCTGGGAGTTGAAGTCCACACATCTTAAAGTTGCTGAGGTTGAGAAACGCTGTTACCTATGGGAATCCCAGGGTTATTAGCTAGACTGGGAAGTCCAAAAAAAAATCTGCAGAGATAGCAGTGGCAAACCGTTTCCATCTGATGCCCAGAAAACAGCCTTGATGGATTTATGCCACCCAGACCCAGGCTCAGCTCGAGGGAAACCTTGTATTGTTATAAGGAAAACGGAAGGGGGTGGAGGGGAATGGATGGAATGGAATGAAGTCTCCTAGAAAAGGTGGCTGGGTGGCCAGCTACTGACAGCCATGACAGAAATACATCAGGCAGTAGGATTTTTTTTTTTTTGGCAGGTTTTGCTTTACATTTGCTTTACATTTGGAGGCAGGGAGGTAGAGAATGTTCCAATTCCTCCCCCCGCCCAACCCTCCCACAGGTATCAAGGAGTCTTTGGCCTGATCCAAAAAATTTGGAGGGGAGACCTCTTTTGAACGCTTATAAGCAGGAGAGCTTTTCCAAAGATGGAGCTGTCAGGCTGAGAAATGGCAAAAAGGCCAGATGTGTAACTGTACTAGGTTAAGTAAGGCAGCAATTTTTTTTCACTTACCAAAGTGTAAGCCCCACATTGAAGTTTGAGCAGACACAGGTAAGTTTCACTATATACTCGTGAGGAAAAGGAGGAAGCCAGCATTGACAAAAATGGAGAGACCCTCATTTAGCAGGGTTGTGTCCTTTCAGCAATTGTATGCTTACGTTGCACAAAAGTAATGCACTAATTATCTCGTGATTTTCACTTCCCTCCTGTTCTTAAAAAAAAAAACTCTAGTTTTTAGTCCTTCACGTTGTCTCTCTCCCCGCTCCTCCCAGTAGTAGTCTGAGAATGCCCCCTTTTGCCAGAGAAATCCTGAGACCAGCCACGTTTCTCAGACGTTGGCTGCCAGAGGTGCCTCCTCAAAAGCAGTTTTGAAGACCTGCAGCAAGGATCTCCTGACTGCATCCTGGAACTCTTGCCCTACAAAGACATAAAGCAGGGGGTTGATGCAACTGTTGAACATGGCCAGACATTTGGACAGCGGGATGGCCACCAGACGCATGGTCTCTGGCACAAGATCCATCGAGATCCTGGCCAGAGCCAAAGCATGGTAGGGGAGCCAACAGAGGAAGAAGCAGAAGACCACCCTGGTGACTACCAGGAAGGGTTTGCTGGATTTGTTAAGCTTCTTCTTGCGCATGGTCACCACCAGGATTGTGTAGGAGATGGAGATAACCAGTAAGGGAAGAAGGAACTGATAGAGAAAAATACAAATAGTGAGGACCTCAGCTTGCTGCCAGTCCTGAAAGATGTCCAGGTTGTTGCAGGAGCTCCGATTATTATTATCCACAGAGACCTGGGTGAAGAAGTATGAGCTGGGAACGAAGAATGCCAAAGACAGCAGCCAAAGGAATCCACAAGCTGCCCAGGTGAGTCGTGGGGTGCGGTAGTTCTGGCACCAGACAGGGGCCACCACCAGCACACAGCGATCCACACTGATGGAGCTTAGTAACAGCACACCACTGCATACGCTCAGCCCAAACAGGCAATTGGCCACTTTGCAAGCCACAGAGCCAAAAGGCCAGTGCAGGTCAAGAGCCAAGTTGAGTACCGTGACAAGTATGAGGGAGGTGGACGCTAAATCAGCTAAGGCAAGGTTGAAGAACCAGACAGTGTTGGAGGTCCATCGGAGCTTCCACCCAGTGACCCACAGGACTACCCCATTCCCAGTCACACCAGCCAGAAAGATGAAGCTGAAAATCACCCCTGTGATAATCTTTATGATGTCCCGCACAGAGCTTTCCTCCACGAGCACATGGGAGGAGGAGCCATTGGCAGTCGGATTTGTTGACATCTCCCTGTCAAAGAGATAAGAACAAGGCTGAAGATCCATGATTATTGGTCATCCAGACCAGACAATGCAATTTCTTTGCCAGGGACCACATTTTTACTGAAAAGCAAATTATCTCCAAGGGCCACAAAGTTATTGATGATAATGTCCCCACCTTTGTACTACTGAACATTAAAGTTGTACTGCATTTGAAAAATGCGCCTATGCTCATCCCAGCTTCTGAACATCAGGGCTCATGGAGTCTTATCCTGAAGAGCATGAAGTCTAACATTTGACACAAGAACCCTGAAGATTCAGGGCTGGGCAATGCCTCTTCAGTTGCTGAAGCTTTTAATAGCCCCAGCATGGCCTATAATGGGAATGTATTGCATTTATAGCCTGCCTTTCCTTTGGGAATTCAAGTCAGCATATGTGAGGTTCTTGCTTTTATCCCAGCTGTCCCAACCTCTTGAGATATGTTGAGGTGAGAGAGGGTGACTGGTCAATGTTACTGAATCAACTCCGTGGTTCAGTGAAGGCTTGGTTCTAGATCAGTGTTTCTCAGCCTTGGCGACTTTAAGATGTGTGGACTTCAGCTCCCAGAATTCTACATGCTAGCTGGGGAGGCATGCTGGTTGGGGAATTCTGGGAGTTGAAGTCCACACATCTTAAAGTTGCCAAGGTTGAGAAACACCGATCTAAATCATCACCTTAACAATGCGCTATGCTACACGGGTTCTCCAAAGTTGCAATCTAACAGCATCTGGAGGACTATGAATTGCTTATCTCTGCACTATATCATCAGTGGACAAACTGTGATACAATTTGAGTAGCGTAAGTAGCGTAAGCATGTGGGGCTTCTTTGAACAGGAAGCTCTGTGGGATTGGTTGTGGTATAAAGTCAGCATTGCTCTCTTGCTTGGCTAAGACCTACTTACTTACTTACTTATTTATTTATTTACTGGATTTCTCCCCTGCCCATCTCC